ATGTGTGCAGTACAAAAAAAAAATCCTGCAGCATGCAGTGCATGAGAAAAAAAAAACTGACCACGTCTTTGGTTTAAAACAGCAACTTTGCAGTGTATTTTCGTATAGTATTTATGGTTGTACGTATTCTCGTTTTCTTGGTCTCATTTGATAAAATTTAAGATATGTTATAGAAACAGAGATGAATTTGATTGGTTTCACGAAGTACCTTGAAACTGAGCTCAAAGTAGCGAAAATGTTGGATTTTTGCTGATGTTCAAGAGTAAACAGATCACACCACACATCCAATACACATCAACTGGTGCATCTAATATTCTTTCACAAGTGCACTGATATTATTTATAACTTTTTAACAATAATGTAGTAGTCTGCATAACAGTAAATCTTCTACTTTTTGCGAGAATAAAAATTTCAAAATGGAAAGCAAGAGTAATATAAGAGGGGCCTGGATACGTGACTAATGAACAGATAAAAATGTTATTTTAGTGCCAGGAATGTCTATTGTCTTGTTTATTCTGGACCCTATTTTGAAACTGCCATCTTTTGAAATTTGCGTGAAATTGGCCAAATTGCCAATTTCTGACCACTTTACTGGGTAGTTGGAATCGGTAAATGGGCGGTTTCTTGTACTCAATCGATAGAACAAATGGAGTTCTAGCAAATTAGCTATGAGTTTAGTTGACTGGAACAATGGAATTGGCCAAAAATAGGGCTCAAAGTGGGCAAATTGCTAATGTGTAAATATCGCCGATATCGCTAACTTAGTGAGAGCGTAATTTCGAAAGTTTTCCATCAAATTGCGTACTTTTGGTGTCATTACCATTGGGAAAAAGATTCTCTATTATTCCATAAGAAAAAAAAATTTTTTTTAAATTTTTGACCCTGAGAGTTAACTCTTTGACTGTCTCAACCCCAAATCCTGAAGTGTCTCCTGGTGTCGAAAATTTTTTGGAAAAAAAAAAAAATGATTTTTTCTTATGAAATGATAAAGAATCTTTTCCAGATGGTAATGACACCAAAAGAATGAAATTTGATCAAAAACTTGCGGAATTACGCTCCCACGAAGTTAGCGATCTCGGTGACATATGCATCAGCAATTTCGCCAAATTTAAGCCCTATTTTCGGCCAATTCCATTGTTCCAGTCGACCAAACTCACAGCTATTTCTTTAAAACTCCATTTTTTTCTATCAACTGAGTACAAGAAACTGCCCATTTACCAATTTCAACTACCCAATAAAGTGGTCAGAAATTGGCAATTTGGCCAATTTCACACAAATTAAAAATAGATGCCAATTTCAAAATAGTGTCCAGAATAAACAATGCAAACATTCTTGGCACTAAAATAACATATCCTCTGCTCATTAGTCACATCTCCAGGCCCCTCTTATATTATTCTTGCTTTCTATTTTGATTTTTTATTCACACAAAAAATAGAAGATTTACTGTTATGCAGACTACTGCATTATTGTAAAAATGGTATAAATAATATCAGTGCACTAGTGAAAGAATATCAGACTCCCCAGTTGATGTGTATTGGACGTGTGGTGTGTAAAAATCAAACATTTCCGCTACTTTGAGCTCAATTTCAAAGTCGTTTTCATTGTGAAACTAATCAAAATCATCTGTACTTCTGTAATATGTTTTCCATTCTATCAAAAACGACCACGAAAACAAGAATACAACCATAAATACTATAGGAAAATACACCTCAGTCGGAGTTTTAATCCAAAAACGCAGTCGGAGTTTTTTTTCTCTCATTATGCACTGCTTGCTGCAGGATTTTTTTATACAGTGCACACTGACCACACAGACCCATTCTCTCACATGTGGGCCTACCAGCTTTCTCCTGCTTGATTTGATGCCGCTAGAATTATTGAGTATATATACGTCCGAAACACTGGCTTGCAAGACGTATGTATATGGCTGAAACAGTCAATAGGGTTATATATTGGGGGTCTCAACCCTGAAAGGGTTAAGGATCAGGGGTCTCGACACTGAAAGGGCTAACGATGGAGTTCCGTTCCTGAGACCTCGTCGGTAAATGAATTCATCATTAAGTAAGGAGCACACTATAATGGTAATGGGTTTGTGTCAACCAATTTTGATATTGTTTTAATGTCACCTTTGCACCATTTATAACATTTCTGGTATATTTTTAAATGTTTATACAGTAGTGTACTGTATACTGTAATAAACAGAATAGAAGAAATCGGCTCTAATATACATTATTTAGGTATGCATACTGGTCAGAGAGCCCATTGTAAGTCTGAGTCGTCAGTAAATGAGTGCGTCGCTAAGGGAGGAGAGGCTGTACATAGTTTTTCGTTTATATACATACCTATGGTAAAGTTTAATTGATAAATTATGCAAAATAAGCCGAAAATTAGCACTTTTTCAATGATGGGAAGCACTTCATGGCTCCTCTTAGTTTTTCAAGAACTGTCATCGTCACTACTTTTGTGCTTTGGTGCTATTATCAAGCAAAATTAAGACATTTTCGGGCCACTTTAAGCCATGGATAACATACTGTGAATACAGAATCTGTGGGTTTATGCTGTAATTACAAAAAATGTAGTATCTTTTACAAGAATTTAGGGAAAAATACAACTGGATGGAGGAATTTCCTGTTAAACCCATAATATGCACAGTACTTCAGGAGCACTTAGAGGACAGATAGTGATAGAATGACAAAGAGGGTGTAAACGTTTGGGGTGGAAATAAGAGATGTAGGAACTGCCCCAAAAACAGTTGGAGGTAGGGGTAAGGAAGGTTTTGAGTGGTAGGGACATGAGCATTCACAGGCTTGTGTGAGCACATTAACCCTTTCGGTGTGGGTCCCACTGTTCTATGGCTTTGAAGCCAGTTCCATTCCTGTAGTACTACACCATGAGCTCAGCTCACTCATAAGCTGCGAGCAATAAATTTGGGCCTAGATATGAAAGAATGAGTCTATGCAGCAAGTGTGCACCATAAAAAAAAAATCCTGCAGCACATAGTGCATAGTGAGAAAAAACTGCAACCATGTTTTTGGTTTAAAACAGTAACTTTGTAGTGTATTTTTGTGTGGTTTTTATGGTTGTATTTTCGGTTTCTTGGTCTCGTTTGATAGGATGGAAGATATATTACAGAAATAGAGATTATTCTGATTGGCTTCAGGACTGAAAGTATCTTGAAACTGAGATCAAAGTAGCAGTAATGTTCAATTTTTGCAGATATTCAAGAGTAAACAAATGACATCATATGTCCAATACGCATCCAATCGGCAAGCCTCATACTCATTTAGGAATGCACCAACATTTATACAATTATTACAATAATGCAGTAGTCTGCATAACAGTAAATGTTCTATTTTTGTGTGAATAAAAATTCAAAATGGAAAGGAAGTATAATAAAAGAGAGGCCTGAGATGTGACTAAGGAACAGAAGAAATGTTTTTTCGTGACTAAGGAACAGAAGAAATGTTTTTTCTAAATTGGCAATTTTTGAATTTTGTGAAATTGGCCAAATTTCCAATTTCTGATAACTTTATTAGGTAGTCGAAATATGTAAATGGGCAGTTTCTTGTACTCAATTGATGTTATAGAAAGAATACTAGCAAAATAGCTATGAATTTGGTCTACTGAAACAATGAAATTGGCCAAAAATGGGGCACAAAGTGGGTGAAATCGCCTATGCCTAAATATAGATGAGACCGCTAACTTTATGAGAGAGTAATTCTGTAAATTTTCCATCAAATTTTGTACTTTTGGTTTCATTACCTTCAAAAAATATTCTCTATCATTTCATAAAATAATTTTTTTTTAATATTCTTTGACCCTGAGTGCAAGTTTGAGATCAGGGGTCTCAACCCTTAAAGGATTAAACCGGATTTGGTCTACTGGAGCAATGTAATTGGCCTAAAATATGAATCAAATTGGGCAAAATCGCCAATGCGTAAATACTGCTGACACAGCAAAATTCATGAAAGCATAATTTCACCAATTTTCGATCAAACTTCATACTTTGTTTTATTACCTTCAGAAAAAGATTCTCTACTATTTCATAAGATTTTTTTTTTTTAATTCTTGGACACTGTGGACAAGTTTCAGATTGGGGGTCTGGACAATGAAATGGTTAAAAAAAGTGAATAAATTCAGCTTCATAATTTACCTACTTAATTATTAAACCTGCCAGAATTTTTTTTTACTACAGTATAGTATTCCCTATCATATACATAAGCTCAAATACTGCACAGTATATTGTTTCACATTTACATCCATACTGTACTGTAAGAACTGCATTGCATCACAAGTTTATTAAATTTTACTTAAGAGGGCTAGCATATACAGTACCATCATTGTTCTTCGCATACAAAAGCCCTAGTTTCATTATACTGTACAAGTTAAATTACCAACACCCATAAGACTTACTTGATTTGTGATATCATAGACGACAATTGCTGCCTGAGCACCACGGTAATACATAGGAGCTAGACTATGATACCTTTCTTGTCCAGCTGTGTCCCAGATCTCAAATTTGACTGTGGTATCATCCAAACATACTGTCTGTGTCAAGAAGGCCGCTGTAACAAGTAGAACTCTTCAGTAAAATGTGAAACAATTTAAAAGATACAAGATACAGCATATAGAAACTTTTATTCATTTTGCACATGATCAAAATACGTACTCAAGTCCACAATTATTGTAATTTCCTCATCACTTTATAGTTCATAACTATCACAACCCATTCCTTGCAACACAAAAATCATATAGTACTTTATAAGATACTTCTTAAATATTTTGATCTAGTTACAACATGGTTTAATAAATGCAATATAGCACACTTACCACCAATGGTAGATTCTTGGTATTCATGGAATTGACCTTTAACAAATCTTAAAACAAGAGAAGACTTTCCAACTGCAGATTCACCCAGTAACACCAATTTGAATTGACAGATCTTGCCCTGGCCACCACCACTGGGTCGTTGTGCACCTCCTCTCTGTGCCATCCTGACTTATCTATACAAAAAAAAAAAAAAAAAAAAAAAAAAAAAAAAAAATGAAAAGATAATAAATACAGCCATGTCAATTTACAAGAAATTTTGTCACCTTCAAGGATCCCAATGGAAATAAATCACTAACTTTTTGAGGTTATCCTAGGTAACCTACACAGATACTGCTTTGTATGATAATTTATTTAACTATTTTTGTATACATTTTTGTGTACAAGCCGAAATAAATATTGTAAAGTCCTCATTTGTATTCTTGTTTGCTACTATTCTTGACTGTTGAAATGAGTAATGAATACCAAAATATTTACTTATTACATCTACTATTATTGCCTCGGGACTCTGTTGCAATATTTGGGGTTGTTTCCTAAGGAGCTTTGCTTATTCACGTCATGTGATTAGAAACCCTGCAAGTGAAGAGATGTTTCACCTGCTTCACTGGAACCTGCTATCCTAACATGTAACTAAAAGTTGAATCTCAAAAAGGAACCCAATCAGCACTGCATATTAGAAATTAATTTCAAGTACAGGTCAGCCATCACTAATCTGGCATCATTGGGACGTGTAGTGTGCCGGATTAGTGAGTTTGCCGGATTACAGAGTGGTTAGGTTAGAATACACTTAATTAACCTATCAATAGAGACTCTTTCTGCTACATCTTCCTCATTTTCATCACTGCTTTCTACTCCACTGGCTTGCTGCTGTGGATTTACAACCAACTGCACAGTTACTGAGTCAGTATAATGATTTGAGTCAGTATAATGATGAAATTTGAAATTATGCTAGCCGAAATTAGTGCGGGATTGCTGATGGAACTGGATAACTGATTGCCAGATTAGTGATGGCCGACCTGTAATTTGAAAATACAGTAACAAATATGAGGAATTATTAGTACACACTAATGTATAAAATACTGTATAAAGCAATAAATCCAATAAATTAACATCCAACATTCATGACTAATACGTAACAGAACCAAAAATTATATGACTTTACAAAAGCTGATTACTCACTACTGTACCCCATTAATCCATACACAACACTCGACTACTAAGCAAAACCAATTTATAAAAATTGGTCAACTGACACATTTCGTAGTACAGTGGAACCTCAGTTTTTGTTTGCCCTGATTTTCGTTGAATTCAGTTTTTGACAACTTTTTTCGTCAAAATTTTGTTCCAGTTTTCATTCACCCGCTCTGTTTTCGTTGAGTTGACAGTGGTCTGCTGTACCAAACGTGTCTGCCTGCCCACGCCCACACAAAACGTCACACGCATTCCGACTCAGTCTGGCTTTGTTTCTCGTCAAGTGAGCATTACTCTGCGAATTCATCCAAAAACATTTCCTAATAATCCATAATGATGTTAAATGTTCATTTATCCATTTCATTAGTCATTTACTGTACATTTATTTCTCATTGTTTTCTGTATGTAAAACTAGTACAGTTATTCTCTATAAAATGTGTGTTTTGTTAATATTTTTGGGTGTCTGGAAAAGATTAATTGGATTTACATTATTTCTTTTGGGAAATATTGCTTCAGTTTTCATACGATTCGGTTTTCGTCAGACTTTCTGGAACAAATTAATCACAAAAACCGAGGTTTCACTGTACTGTATTATTATATTAGGGTGCAAGTGCTAAATTCATACAGAGCCTGAAGGGTGGGTAGCTTAATTCCTTGGATGAGGAGCTTTTTATCAGCATCAAGGAACTCCCCCCTCCCACTTGAAAAGAGTCAAACTAATAAATTATTTTAATAAAAAACCTCATTACCTACACTAAACATTCACTTTATTATGAGAGCCACAATTGCTGAGGAACTAGAGGGATATAATTATTTTTCCTTAAAAATATTTCAAAATATTTAAGTTCAATACAGAACATGCTGATGAGTTAATAATGTGTTGGTAGAAACTAGTCAAAAGCAGATTTTTTATGATCTTTTAGATCTAACAATGAAAAATCTTAGTTTATGAAATTGAATTTTGGTATTCTGTATTCAACTATAAAGTAATATAGTTAAAGAACTTTTCAAAAATATGTCTGTATATGGACCCAGTGCCAACAGCATCTACCTTGTTGAAAGTGCATTGCTGTCCGTTTTGAGTACAGTAACGGTATGTTATTATTTGGACATTATTGCACTGTGTTAGTATCCTACAGCACGCTTCCCAAATGCAAGAACATATTGTTATGCGCTATATTTACTGAAAGTGTTAAACCCAAAGGGTCATACAGTACTGCACACTGAAGTGGGGAGAGACTTAGAGAGGACAAGCTGTGGAAGAGGCAGATGTGCAGACATGCTGAGAGAACATTACGTTATAAAATGTTTTACAAAAAATCCATAAAATATCAATCACAAACCAAAGTGTTTGAGCTAACGTCAAAGACTGAAAATGTTAGCATTCTTGTAAATCAAATTAATCATCCAGTAGTTTTAAGTTGATTTTAAGTATGCCTGAAATGCTCTGCATAACCTGGGGTTCTTTATGAAAATAATGTCAACTATGTATTCCTAAATCAACTGTATATTGTACTTGATAGAAATAGAAATTATTATGATTATTATTATTATAAAGGATGGTGATTACAATTAGAGAAGCAAACTAGTGTCAGTTAAGCGTGCAATGTTTCTCTGCTGCAAAGGTGGGACAGCCACAGAGCAGAGCAGACTATGCAAGGACATCAGGGTGTTGGAGAATACGTCTGAAATTTTGGTGTGATACTGAAGGAACAGAGCAATCAATCAAGATATGTTGTACTGCCGGAGTGACCTGATGATCTTTACAGTTGTGCAAAGCAACAGGGCAAGAAGAATTTACTCCTACAAGGAAAAAAGTGTTAGGACATGTATGCTGTTATTATTATTATTATGATCAAATAAAGCACTAAACCAGCTGTATGCTGTTACTAATCCATTTGTAACTACAAAAGCAATTATACTCATCTTCAGGATTTAAATAATCATATAAATTTGTTTTAATCTTTAGCAGTTATTTTATTTAATTTGTCACTTGTCTTTGGAATTTTTCTAGTGAGCTAGCTAGTTAGTTTAACATTTTTATTATGCACTCATACCCATCCTGTGGGTAGTAGTCACAAGATTACAGACGTACATAATGGGTCCAGGGACTGAACAAGTTACAGTGGTAATGAACTATTTACATGTTAACATCCAGTCACAATCGTAATGAGTCATTTGTGCCGTTTCGACAATTTTTAGATAACACTACCACAGCATACCTGTATTCTAATTTTGGCCTAACAGCAAGCGTGTATGAGCGTGTTAGATAGAAGTGACTGGAGAAGAATGGTTTTGGGACCTGATGAGCTGTTTGAGCGTGAGCAAGGTAATATTTAGTGAAGGGATTTTGGGAAAACCGGTTAGCCGGACTCGAGTCCTGGAAATGGGAAGTACGTACAATGCCCGCACTTTAAAAGAGGGGTTTGGGATATTGATGGTTTGGAGGGACTTCTAAACTGTCATGTCTGAATGCCTCTGCAAAAACAGTGATTGTGTGTGAGTGAGGTGAAAGTGTTGAATGATGATGAAAGTATTTTCTTTTGGGGGATTTTCTTTCTTTTTGGGTCACCCTGCCTCGGTAGGAGACAGCCAACTTCTCGAGAGGGAAAAAAAAAAATTATACAGGTTTTTCAGCTTTTATCCATCAAATATCACAGCCACCATAATTTAAAGACTGGCCAGTGTATACCTGGCGGGGGTTTTGGGGGTTAGTGCCCCTATGGCCCGGTCTGTGACCAGGCCTTGAGAATACACATTTTTCACAACTTCATTATCTCCAGTCACAATTTTATTTATTTATTTATTTATTTAATGTCTTTGCAAACAGTACATTGAGATTGTGTATATACAATAGTGGGTTGCAACACAAAGAGAGCCTCTATTATGCCTAGGCATTATGGGCCAACTTAACATTATTGGCTTACATTCTACTTAATACTAAGGAGTAGTATATCATAGTTGTACAGTAGGAAAGTAATTATTTCATAGTTGTACAGTATAATAATAATTATAAATGAATCAAAATTTGTATAATATAAAGATATATTTATATTCTAAAATGCTTTTGTGAAAAACAATGATTCAATTATATTCCTGTCAACAATGGATAAAAAGGTTCAATGTGATTGTTTCAGTTATGATGTGGGAGTACATAGGTGAGTATGTATGTACTGAGTATTTAGCATTTAGTCTAGGGTGATTAAGTGGCTTTTGAGAAAAATCTTAAATTGATTTTCAAACTGGATTACTTTAATATCTTCTGGTAATGAAGTCCATATTTTGGGACCCTTTATGTGCATAGAGTTTTTACACAGTGTGATATGGACACGAGGTATATCAAAAAGAGATCTGTATCTTGTGTTGTGGTCATGTGTCCTGTTTAGGTTGGTGAGGAAAAGTTTGAGTGGGGGGTTTATATTTGCGCGTATTGTTCTGTGTATGTAGTAAGCACATGAATAAGCATGGATGTTCTTAATGGTAAGCAGATTCAGACTTTTGAAAATTGGTGGAATATGCTGGCAGGAGTGGGAATTTGTAATCATTCTTACTGCTGCCTTTTGCTGGGTTATTAGGGGTTTTAGTTGATTGGATGTTGTTGATCCCCATGCACAAATTCCATATGTAAGATAAGGGTATATGAGTGAATGGTACAGTGCCAGGAGAGCTGATTGTGGAACGTAGTACCTTACTTTTGATAGTATGCCTACAGTTTTGGAGATTTTCTTGGTGATTTGTTGTATGCGTGTCCGGAACTTAAGGCTACTGTCAAGGTGGATACCTAGGAATTTTCCCTCTGCGAGTCTTGTGACTGATGATCCATTTAGCGTAATTTTAAATTTGGGATCATTTGAGCTTTGTTTCCAAACTGAATGAAATAGGTTTTATCAGTGTTCAGGGTAAGTTTGTTAGTCATCATCCAGGCAGATATTTTCTGTAATTCAGCACTGACTGTCTTTGCTAGTATGATTGCATTTGGGTGGGA